ATGTCCAGGAAACATTAAAATCGCAATTTAACTCTCAACTGAAATAAAATAAAAACTTCTGTACGTTACAAGTTCGTCTTACGTCAGTTTCCAACGGAAAGCAGCCTGTATACTTTTAATTGCTGCGCGAAATTTTCGTCTTCGCAGTGAGGAATTGTGTGTATATACTTTGGAAGATTCTCATTATTACTTGAAGCTAAACGAATGAAACTTTTCTTCTTGCTCGTTTTCCTTCATCAAGGTTGTTCAACGCGTCCGTCAACAAATTCGTTTGCAAGCGATCGCGATAAAACGAATGCTATCAAATTCAAGTGTATATTTCGGTATCACGAGTAATTAGACATCAGTCTACGGTAAAAAACGAGTCGGTCTGCGAACTGAAAACCAAACGATTTAGCAGCCATTTTGATGGAGATGAAAACAAGCCGACGGCATTCGACGAAAAAAAGTTGCGCTTTCGCGGAATGATCCTCGTTAAAGCAATTTCTCGCGGATCTACGGCCTTGTTTCGGTAACCGTAATGAGTAATGGGAAAACCGATAGCAATTAGGCTCGGATCGGTTGATTGCAGTGATATCGTTCGCACGATTACTTGTTCTTTAACCGGCAGCGAACGCGAACGAGCAAGTCTCTCCTTACGGTTGGCGCAGTTCCGCTCCATCGTTGCTTCATTATCCGTACTTAACGAAGTTTTTCTGCAAAGCACCCGCGATCGATTCGAACCAGTTTCTGGCGCGAAGTGGGGCATCAAGCTGCTGCCAGGAAAACGCTCACCGTTTCTAATTTACTACCTGGCAAATAAACTGCCCGTTAATTACTATGTACGGTTGAACTGCAATGAACGCGGATTGACATTAAACATTTAACGGGACTATCGAACGAACAAACTCCGGTGAATACCATATAAGTCGAATGATTAGTCGAATTTTATTTCATATTTCCTCTCGTTTTAACTCTTTGCGGACGGATTTTAGCATTTCGGTGAGGTGAAATGTTCAGATTTCTAAGACTAAGTCGTGGGCAAATGATCTAATTAGTCGAACAGCAAGAGACCAGCACGTACTTTAATCTTTTTCTATTAATTAAGCAATTGATATATAATTTAGCTTCATGTGTTAAAGGTTTTGTATGTTAATCTGCTCGTGTTACACTTCAAAGACATTTTTCCTTAGTTTCTCACTTTGGAATAGAGATTTTTATGTACTCGTTATCAAAGATCTTCAAGACCGAAATTGAATTTCATATTTTATCGGTGATTTTCGCTTTGCGTCGACTAAGGGTGGGAAGGGGTTGAAGAAACTAGAGATTTTCGTCGGGAAACGGTTTGATAAATAATGGAATACAGTCGCCGGCACTTCTGGCCTTTGAGTTCCTTCAATATGTAGCCAGCATGGCCACTTTGGGGCGTCGGTAGAAAAAATCTAGGTATCAGAGTGTTTGCAAATGGAAGCATTAGAGGGAAGTTGATTTCTCTTTGTGCGCCCCCGCCAATTTCGAACTTTCGACGGATCCCGTCGGTGAAAAGAAGTTTTTCGGTGACGTCGAAGGGCGGGGTAGAGTGGAAACGCCGCTTTAAACTACGTGACGAGAGCAAAGAAGGCGCATTTGCATCTCAAACGCTTCAGATTAAGAAGTTGAATCATTCCCATGACGCATTACACTACAGGGAGTTTCTTACCGTGTGGCCAAATGTTCTTCGCAAAGTAGGTTGCAACGAAACTCGTATAGAACGCTCGGCGCTCGAAAGGAACTTTTTAAAAAGTTCCGGCGAATCGTAACCAGCGGATACTACAGAAAAGATTGAGACAGTGTTTTGAAAGATCTTATATAACCGTTTGAGGATTCCATTTATTTCAGTTTCGCGAGTTTCCTCGGGTTCTCGTATCTTTTTTTGTTCCCTTTATTGCGCAAAACTTGTTTAAGTGCGATATTTCGACGAAGATAATGCCATCAGACTTTTCACGTTTATCTAATTATTCGCGCGATTATTAGATCCTATCGTTTAGGTTGTTATCTTCGAAACGATTTCGCGAAACCACGATGCAATAAAAATTCCGTATTGCAGCAAAACGTCTCTCGTCTATCGCGTCTATTCTGTACCATCCGTCTTCCCCGGCTGTCAATATATTTTTCATGCTTCGTCTCAGGAAAATACACGTTTCATCCACTGGGAAATTCTGTTACTTTTTTCTTGTGTGTGATTGTTCACGTGGGAGATGCGATCGCGCGGCAACACGTTAAGAAAATAAAGCAGGGAAACGTGACGCGAGCACGTCCATCTTCGTGAAGCCTTTAATATTGTCTGTGCAGGATTACACGTATTAAACTTCGCCCTGTTGTTTACCGTGGCTGGTAACAATATGTTTTTGTGCAAATATTACCGCGCGTCCAACGCAAACTGCGAAGCATTGCCATTCATTTCATTTTCTCCTGCATTAGTCTCTGAATCTCTTCATACGTCAAAGTGTAAATACGATTTTTAATATAGTCATTAAAATGTCATCGTTCCTTCTATTCTGTATATTCGAAATGAACGATTATTATATTTATCGTACTCGCGCGCGAAACAATCCTCTCGTCGCGCAATCATCAGAAATATTTGCTAGTACGTTAACGAGACAAATTGATCCGTTCGAGTCGAATGATTTTTCCGAGGGTAGTTTCGGCAGCAAAGTTGCGTTAATATTTTAATCACCTGTTGAGCCGCATAGCCAAACCTCGCCGTTCCGTTCAATATGATAACAGCTCAATTAATGTTTCACGTATTTCAATATGCTGCCATTAAATTCATCATTGTTAATATTAAAAGCTCTCTCCAATTTAACTATGCACTCATCGCGCCTTGCACCCGCACTCGATAAATTCAATGTTCGCATGTTTATTGTCACGAGTATCTAGAACTGATCAATAGAACTACTCGCGCGCGGCTATAAATAAGATAATTCAGATAATTGCAGAAACTAGTTGTGTGATCCACTCATTACAAATGGTTACGAAAAAACAAAGTAGAATAGAGGGAAAAGGAGTAGAAACACGAGAAGAAAAGAAAGGAAGTAACACGGAATGAGAAATGAAGATAACGTAATGTAGCAGAGAAGGGAAAGAATTAGAATGGAAGAGAACGCGGTTCTCGATATCTTGTCGCGTGAAGTTCACAATCAAGTTTCGCGAACGAGCAGCACACTGCAGCGACTCTTCTGACTTACGAGAGTCACTCCGCAGCCAAGCATCGACGCGAAATGTAAAGTCGAAACCGAAGTCACATGTTGCGACGCGTAACCGTGCGACCGAGCCAGAAGTTCCGTCGGTGTTCCGACGCGACCGCAACGTGAATTCGCGAGTCTTCCGTGCGCAGCCACCGTGTCAGCGCACCCCCGCAAGCTACACCTGCGTTCGCCACTTCTGCAGTTTTCCAAATAATTTCGGAGCGGAATCACAGAGAGGCGCGCGTTCAAATGACGAAGCGTCGCGTCGCTCGAGCTAAAACTCACGCAAACGCCAATAAACGGAACAAACACTGTTGCGACCGAATTATAAATTCCCCACCGTTTCAAAGATGCTTACAATCCAACTAAAACGCTCCTCATCGATCAAAAACTCTAGCAACCCTCCCACATCTCATTCCCTTCGCCCCGCCGGTAATTTACAAAGGTCCAATTTATCGCTCCCACCCCTTCCACGACTTTCCCGAGTATCACGAGCCGCAGTCGACACAATTTACCTGGCCCCCAGTCGCAAAAACAAGGAAACCCAACATTTTCGTTCCCAGCGAAATGTCAATTTCAAAGTTCCTCCGAGCGGAGGCACGCGGAGATTGCGCCCGCGGCGATTCAACTCGAAAGTACCGCAGCGGCCGGCCCGGCCCCCCGACGTTGAGAAACACCGTCGGATTCCAATCGAAATACCGTAGGGTCTCGCCCGTTAGGTTTCGTCGGTACGCCGATTCCACGGTTCTTTCCCTTTGTCTCGATCGACTTCCCGCGGAGCAGTTTGAATCGGGAGTGGCCGAGCAGCCGCGCGGCGCGGCGCGGCGTGGCACGGCGGTTCGGTCTGAGCTTTCGATAATCCCTCGCGGGGGAATAAGAGCGGTCTACCGAGCGGCCGGAGAAAAAGGGGGGCGGTTCAGGGCCCCTAGCGGATAACGGCTGATAAAAAGTCGCGAGCTGAAGGGCCTTCGGGGAGGGCTCGCCGCAGCGCAGCGGCGAGTTCACGGATTACGCTAATAGCGACCCCGTGGAATTTATAGCGGCCGGTCGGATTAAAAGTTCAATTTCTGTTCGAGGGGAACCGGCAAAACGTCGATTCAATTACGATTAAGGGATTAACGGGGATGCGTGTGGACGTAAGGTGCTCTGCTTTGCGTACCTCCCTCTCCGCTATCCCTCTTCTTTGCCCCTCTTTTCGTGTCGCTTTTTTTCCTTCGCTCTCCTCCGCGTCGATTCCGTTCGTCTCTCTTCGCCCCGCTCGAGTGCCAGAATGTGCCTTTTCGAGGATCCTTCAGCGCTGCCGAGTCGACTAACTCAAGAGGGCATGATAATCCAACGAGGCTTTGACACTTGACTATCCTCAGGGATCTGTCACGGATTTTTGCCTCTTCTCCCGTAGACTCTCGTCTCCCCGTCCTTTTCCTTTTTTTTCACCCCGATACCTTCCTTCGGCTTCCTCTTATTCCGCCGGTGTCTCCGGGGAGGAGTTTCCAAACTTTCGATTGATGTTTTGCTGGCTTGCAGAACTCGTTTTCGGGCAATTGCGTGAGTAGCCGAGGATTTTGATCTGTCGAGGATATCATCGATAGAAACGTGAAGCGTTGCTCGTAAGAATGTTAAAATGCTGTTTGGACGGAGCTATTCTATTTTCCATTATTCCACCTCCATCCTTTCGAAATGAAATTTTCGCGGCCCTTAGACTCGCGGATCTGTAAATCATCTTCAATCCGAGAAACGTCCTAGCCACCGGCGGCAGCGCATAAATCCTAACCGTATTGACACCTTCTGTTACAGAGCACCGGAAACGAGCACCGCCTCGGCGAACTTCGAACTTGGACGAATTGATTGAGCGTAACCCGGCGAGGAGCTATCAACCAGGCGAAACGACTAACGCGCTCCTGGCAAACGGAGTGTGTCCCCGCGCGCGGCACGCCATATTGGATCCTCGGATCACACAGCCGGATCACTGATCGTTACGCACCGAACTTTCCCCAAAGAAATTATCTGTCCGAAGTCGAAAGTTACCAAGTGAAATAAAACGAACAGACGCATCGCTGCCGGTGTCGAGCACAACTTTGTATCGTCTCCGTGAACTTCGCTTTCACGCGGCGAAGCGTTGCCGGCCGTTTCATCGATCAATTAGAGCCACCGAAACGCACCGGCGAGAGCCAATCGGGTAGTCTGCGGAGAAGCGGCGCGTTTAAGAACCGAAGTTCCGTGATCCTTCGTCGAGCATTCAACGGTGCCGAGCTCGGGAGCCTATCCTTTATCAACAGACGAGCTTAAACCAATCCCCTAACCCCGCGAAGCTTTATGGATCAAGTTCCTGCGTACCTCAAATAAAGAAGGGAGTCGAAAGGACTGCCGAGAGATTCGAACTCGTACGTTCGCTGGAAATAGGTCGTTGCCGATGAAAACCAGTCAAGATCGGATCTAGTATCGAACGATCGGTACTCCGCCGCGAACTTTTCTCCGCGACTCGACGGTACAGCGATGTAAGAAAGGGAAGCGAAGAATAATTCGATCAACGATTCGATTTGATGGCACAACGATGGAAGAGACTTTGACAAGTTTCTCGAGAGACAGATTTCCTATGAGTCCCGTGATCTACCCGCAAAGCTCGCAGCTGTGATCTCAACGTTCATATCCGATGAAATATTTCAGATAGAAGACTACTAAGAAAGATCGTTGTTATCGGTCTCTTCCATACGCTAAGTACTCACTTCAGGAAACTGTTTTAATAGATCTACCTTTTTACACGAGTGTTCGATGAGTATTTCGAATAAGGAGATATTTGTGGGTTAATATGTTCCATTCGATATCTCTTTGAATCTTCAATAAATGTTTGAACTAAGAACCAAGATATTTACGGAGAAGTATAACAAGAACCAAGATAATTATCCTAACACTGGCAAGATCTCGTGAATAAATGTGTTACCTCGTCTAAATGCCAGTAATTGACGCTACGAAGAGATTTCTAAATAATTGAAAGATCGGAAGGAAGATCGGTATAGATAGTATAAAGTAAATTCTTTTTCACTGTTGCTGGGATGCCCCCATGACAAGAGGGAGGCTCGTGGTGATGTCTTGTTGCTGCTGGTGCTGCGACGGCCTTGGCGGTGCCGGTTCCTCAAGTGCTGGTGCTGGGGGTGTTGTTACTGGTGCGTCCGGTGGCAGTGTCGTTGTCGGCGGTGACGCCAATAACACAGGCAGTGGTGGTCTCGGTATCGCGTCCGGTCTGTCCGCGATGCTGTCGCTGGTTGTCGTCACCGTGGCGATCAGCACCGGTGAGTGGCTCCTGACCGAAGAGAAACTGCCGAAAACTTCTACGAACACTTCCGCGGAGCCTGACAGTAAAGTTACCTACAGTGGATTGTGGAGGGTCTGCGTTGCGATAAGTAAGTGATTTTTATCAACACATTGCGTACCGACTAACTTCCAGGAAACTGAATTGCGCGGATAGCAATTTTCAATCAACTTATATGACTATACCAGAAAAATTCGGATATCGTATTGTTATGTAATTTATTTTGAATAGATAATCAATTCGAATCAAGTTTAACCCTTTGTACTCCGAGGTTTTTCATTAGAAATATTTCAACATTTTCTGATGAGATGAAGACGATATTTTGTAAAACCAACTCGACGAGAAATTCACGTGAATTGACGGACAAAGCTATTTTAAGTCAATATTTCTCAGATTGATGCATTATACGAAGTATAATATTAAATATCAAACTTTATAGCTTCACGGTAGGAAATCAAGTGGTGACTGAGAGTCACCTCCCGAGTGCAAAGGGTTAATAATTCTTTAAATGCTGTGGTAAATAGTAAAGTTGCATAGCTAAGTGTCTTTATAAAAAAACGAGATTTCTCGTTACCAGTACGCAATAAAACTTCGGATCTGATAATAATCAACATTTTTATTTTTGAACGTTGGACGAAAAGGGCAACAATTTCCGATGTCTCTTGAACATTCGATCATTAGTTACAATTATTCAGATTTCAAATATACATATTTCAAACTTCCCCTCGACTTGCCTTCGACTGAAATAGAAACGTTTCGAAGCAACATCCACAGTATTGGAACAATATACCGTGTGACATTTAACTCCACCGAGACGTTTAAAAATGACTGACGGAATCCAATAGAATTAAGTGAATTCCGGCGGGGATAGTTGGCTATTTTCGAGCACGAGATGGGATAACAAGCGCGCCTGCCGTTCCTCGATCGGCCCTCGAAGCCTTTTCAACTGTAATATCACGGAAAAGCATTACGAAGCACTTCCCCGGAACTCGCGATCTTGTAACAACCGATCCGCTTTATACCTCTTGTACGTAGCGTTCGATAGGTAATATCGAAATGGACACACGGCGACGGGAACAATAACGGAAATTGAAAAACTCGCGAGGAGAAATGACGCTCGCGGACTTCCGCCGGAAACCGGAAGATTGTTTCTGGGAGCCACCGCGGCGGAAGTGCACCTAAGCACTCCCGGCCGGCGAAAATCGTATTTAAGGGAATCTAATTCGACGTCGTCGTTCGAGCTTTTTGCCCCGGCCGGGGAACCGTGTCAAAGAGTAAAAGCCATGACCGCACCGTGTACTCGTTGCTGCTCATTGACCAAAACGACCCACCACTTTGCGAACCAGACAGGTCTGGCTTGGCCTTATAGAGGGTGATAACAAAAAAACCCTCGGGAATTTAAGTGAAGATAGTGCCTTCCGAATGAAAAAAGAGGTCACGCGTGTCAATCGGAAAATTGTATTGTTTCGCTATTTTCGATTGAAACGAACTACTCTTCAAACAAAGGAAACTTGATGGATGACGTATGGATTAAAAAGTTGTAGTTTTATTGTTTCGCGATTGAAAAACAAGTACTCCGTAAAGAAACGATAAATAGCGATACGTGAATTCAAAGGTTTTGCAATTTTATTATTCTCGATTGAAGCAAATTGTTCATTATCGCGCGTTGCGCGTAATGCACTAGTAAACAGACCGATTCGTCGTTCCTGGTAATTGAATGAACGCTGCACGCTCGATCGTTGAGCTTGTACCGACAGTTTGTTAAATTCAAATTTGCCTAGAAGCAAGTTGTTTCATTTATAGCGACCACGACTCGTTGGGAACAGGTATTATATGTTGTAAGCTCGTGATAAGTTGACATTCCGGTTCGGTAAATATTGGCTGAACAAGTGTATTGTGTTTATTTGATCGACGAACGGATTCTCGGGGACGCATGACTGCGCCATGATCGTTTTACCGTGGTTACGTTTAATCACACGAAAAAAAATAAATCAATGGAAATGCGATTCGAAGGAGCTGGGTCCTCGAATTACCTCCCCGAAATTATTAAATCTTATTCCCGTTGTTTAATCACGACGTATAATTTATATCTACCGAATGCAGATTTTTCTTATCATAGAAATCAAAGGTTTTATAAGTTATCTATCGTGTAATTTTCTGTGGATTTTGTGTTGTTAGGAAAAGATGGAAATAATTAGCAGATTGTTCATTCAATTTTCAAACATTCCTACTATCTCGACAGGGGAACTAACTTCCGAGTTCTGTCTCTCGTGGGTGTCATCTAGTTCAAACTTCTGCACCTGCTAACGAAACTTTTAATGTCCAGTGGACCTTTACTGTTGGAGCACAGTGAAATATGTATAGTTCGTTGCTATTGTGCGATAGTAAACAAGAGACAACGAATAACAGAATAACTTAATCAAAAAGTAAACAATATTTAAATAGAATAATTTATTTTTTGTTCACTTCGTTGGATTTTCATTAAAGCTACAGATTTTTAATCGCAATAACTAACTCTTCTTTTACGAAATGAACGAAAGTATGCGCTTCTTTGCTTATGGTTGCTCAAGTGTTAATCAGTTGTCAGTACATTTTGGTTGATTAGTGAGCAGCCGTAAGATTTTCCTTAGAAAATTCATATTAAAATAAAATACATATCCAAGGACGAAAGCGTTAAACAAAAGATTTCCATGCTGATTCCCAGGAGAATATGGACAGCCCGCGAATGAAATTTCCAAGGACAGCTCACACTCTTGCAAAGTAGATTTTTCATTTCGACAACTCGAGATATCGTCTTCCATTTCACAGTTCCAACTACTTTGCATAGCTGTCTGCGAACTTTTCTCGAATACTTAACCGGCAGAACTTACGAGATCCCCGGAGTAACGTTACAGTCAGAGTTTAGTGCATGCAACTCCTATGGCCGAACACGACCGTCTGTTTCCATTGGTGATCGTCGCTAGCGGTCTTTCCACGCGTATCCACGAAACCATAACATTTAACATTCCTAAATTGGCAACTCTCTGAGAACGTTCGGTCACTTTGCAACTTTTCTTTTCAATTGTCTACGTGTTCAGCTGCGTGCATTCCACCTGATTATTTTTAAAATTGAATTTGAAATATATTTTCCAGCTTGGTGAACTTCGATGATGTGTTATTCGATAGCAACGTATTATCAAAAGGCGAATAATCTTTTCTCTAATTTTCTGTTTAGCGCAGACTGAATTGTAGTTTACGTACCAGCAGAAAATACGTTGATCTCCCGTGATTCGCAATGGAGATAACGCATCGCAGGCAGAAACACAAACAAACAACTCGATTCCTTATTTATTCAGCGTTCGACTCTTTCTTTGTATAAATGCACCTCATATTCTGTTGCTTTTGATTGGTATTATTTGTTTACCATTTGGGAAGACAGTGGAGCACATTCGACGCGACCACGGTGAATATTTTCAGTTCCGGTGAATCTGAATAGCAACAGCGCGGCAACGCGACCGTAACGAAAATAAACAGCCGTTAAGTTTTCCGGAGATTAAACTGGAAATCGAGGAAAGTAAAGAAATCGCTTTCCGTTGAATCTTAATGCATTTAAATTACATCGTTATTTTGCGCGCGGCGCAGTCCCGGCAGATGGCGATTTCATAAAACTATCGAAGAAAATGTAAAACTTCGCTGTCTCCGTGTAATTAAACGGTAAAATACACGGTGAACGGGTTCAAGAGGAGGGACGTTAACTCGCGTTTGTTAAAACCGTTTCAAAGGGAAACTTCAATTCCAACGGTGAACAAAGGAGTATTTAAAGCAAGAAGAAAAAATTTCGTTTGATCGACAACACGCAACGGAATATAATAGGCAACGAAGGACTGATGAAAGGGTTCGAAAATGTTTATTTCTCGTTCAGAGATCAAGTATTTTTTTCACCCAGGAAGGATTAACGCAACGCTGTAGCCTCGTGTATTTTTCTAGCAGTTTTAATTTCGTGGTCGCATAACTCTTATCATTCTTCATGCATGAAAATCGCGATTCCTTTTATTTTCTGTCAAGTTACACGACTACGACGCTGTTGTAGAGGGTTGGAGGCAACCTTTGCTGCTTTGCCGGACACGTAACTCCACGTGCCTCGAGCCTTGAATATTAATGCCTAAGCAGAGCCGCGATACCAAGAAGATATTCGTGTCCTGCAATTTTCAGTCCTTTGACGACGTAACGTATGGCGCCGGTGTTACGCGATATTTATTCACCGCGTTGCGAGCCGCAGAGATTGCGGATCATTCCCTGCGGATCGACAATTCGTCCGCAATAATCGTATAAACGGGGAGAATTTTTGTATTCCGCGATGCAGGTTAATCCGTTCACCCCGGGAGGAACGTTTGTTCCTGTTGCTCGGCGATTATTATGGAAAAATAAGAGGAAATTTCTATTCAGAGTACCTTAAGAATCTCATTGAATGCGGCTAGACATCACAGGAACGCGACTCGTTGGGATTATTCAGAAATACCTTTGGCAACTGATTGCAGAAGCTTTTCAGGATCCCTCTGTTCGCCGCCGCGAAAGCCTCACCCTCTATTTTACCGCGCCGCTTTGTCATCCCGCAGTAAAACGTGCATTAAATCATTATAACGGACGATATTTTCATCGCAGGAACTCTGGGAAATTCAATTGAAGAAGCCGCGGCTGTAACGTTTACAGGATAAACAAACTTACTGAAACGGCGCTAATGAGACAATGAAACATCGCGTGTTGAATCCATATTCAAATATAACAAACACGATTTGCTACCCTAACAAAACCTCTGGAACATGCCGAAGTGTCAAGTCAACCTTAAGTGTATCACTCTCCAACAATGATCGATCAGTAAACATTCAACAGATGCGAAAGAAATCTTCAAGAAACGCAGCGAACCGCAGAAGAAGAAGCGATCGAAGAAAATCCAGGATGCCAGCGCGAAACAAAGTTACTCGTAACGTAAACACGAACCGTCGCGGATTTCTGCGGCAAACATTTCTCATCCTGTCCCTCGCCCCGGCCGACAGCAGTCAAGGATTTTCCGCGGAGCCCGAGACGAGGGCAGAAAGCATTTAACTGGTAATA